GTGCGATGTTTTTAAAAAAAGCCACAGCATGAAGTTTGAGTTTTACATTATGTTCACATCACGTCTTCTTCTGTGAGTTTATTGGCTGGAGTTTATTGGCAGTAATCCGATCATAAGCGGATTACTGCAGTTATCTGATTATTCAAATGGTCATGTAAACTGCATACTCCAACGTTTTAGATCGGAGTAATGTCTAGTAATCCAATTAAGAAATCTGATAAAGACAGCTGGATTTTAGCTCAGTAATCAGATTCCTCAGTGCATGTAAACTCTTACTCTGATTTCTTTCAGATTTCTCAGTCTACGCATGTGTGAAAACAGACGGCGGGACCAAAAATAAGCAGCAGCGTCGCTGGTAGATGCAGCAAAACACTTTTGGAGCAACACTGAAACTACATGCTTCACGAAATAAAGGGTTTCACTTTTCTTCATCTTCTAGACAATGTGTGTTCATATTTTCAGGTAAAGTGGTGCGACGTTTTTAAAAAAAGCCACAGCATGAAGTTTGAGTTTTACATTACGTTCACATCACGTCTTCTTCTGTGAGTTTACTGGCTGGTTGTAAAAGCAGAAATCTGACTGACTGTCTGACTCACGTAGACCTGGAGCTTGACATTATCTGATTAATTAAGTGCATGTAAACACATTAATTGGATTACTGACAAAATCTGAAAAAAATACACACTAAATAATAATTTCTGTAACAGTTCCTGTAAATCCTACATTGATAATACTTTATAAATGCATTTATAAGGTGTCATATAGCATGCAGATAATGCCTGGCATGAGCCTGTATAATTGCTTTAAAGTTGTTATAATTAAATGCATAACATTTTATTAAGCAAAGGAATTTCACTTTATAACGCATTATAATATCTGTTCACAAGAACACTGTAAACATGAATATTGTAATGCACTGTAACAAGAGTCTGGTATGTTTTCAGTATAAGGCCCAGACCCATCACAACAGTAGTTACCAACATACCTAAACTGAAACAGCTCTCGGCGACATGCATTTAAAAAAAATATTAATAAAAAGATTATATCGAGTATAATATAGATTAATTTATTTTTAGCTAACTGGTAACTGAACAGATACTGTAATGCATTATGGAACCTGACTTCATGAAGTTATATACTCTTGCTTTATAAAGTGTTTTGCATGTAATTAAAACTACTTAAGAGCAGTTATGTATGATTCTGCCAGGTATTAGACAGTACTATGTATGCCATATCACGCTTTATAAATGCATTTATAAAGCACTATGAATACAGAGTTCATAAGAAGTCTTACTATAACTTCACACTTCTAAATGTTAACATATTCACCTTTATCGCCTCAATGCAGCACATCCCAGCACTGCTGATCTATGGGCTGATATACAGAATGATGAAGAGATGGAGGGAATACACCAACACAAACTAGTTAAACATCAGACGAACTGGATCAGCTTTGATGCAAAAATGGTCTCATCTTGTCTCCATGGAAGCAGCAACGGCACTGTGTGGTATGGGGTCAACAGGGTCAATGTACAGCATGTAAATGGCTTAACTGATCATAGCTTTCATGCTTCTCCCTTCCAAGCAGAAGGACTAATTCAGAATCAGGTGATCTGGGAAGTGTTTCCAGAGAGTTTTATGCCTGGCCCACACTGCAGGATTTAAAAATCCCCACACGTTCTGACATTTATCACCGATTGTTTTGTCCTTGATTGTTGACTGTCCTGAGTGAAACACTGCACACTTTCAAATTACGCACATAACAAGAGGCCCAACTAGAGGTGGATTGATACCACTTTTTCCCTTCTGATACCGATATCTCCAATTGCTTTAATCTTGTCAATTCTTGCCCTGATAGTGGATGTAAGCATTTTCAACCGTTTAGCTATTTTCGTCCAGCCATTTCCTGATTTGTGCAGCTCAACAACCTTTTGTTGCGTATCACTGCTGTTTTCTCTGGTCTTTCTCATACTGATGGATGACTGAGGGAATCTGGCCTGTGTGTAACCACATATGTATACCCCACTAAACAGGAAGTCATGGCTCACCATTTAAGTGTACCTAATTGCTCGGGTGAGCTTCAAACATAAATATGTCGGATTGTTGTTAATATTTTGAATGAAAGATGAAACTCATACGCAATGGGGAATGTTTATTACTGCCTGTTTGGCTCATACAGCCTGTTTTGCTCATGGGTGCCAATATTTGTGGAGACCCCTGTAGAAAGATAGACAGACAGAGAGACAGACAGAGATTGAATATAGATAAAAAGATGGATGGATAGAAGGATGGATGAATGAAAATATAGACAGCTAAATAGATGGATGGATGGATGGATGGAAAGACAGCGAGAGAACGTATGGATAAATAGAGGGATATACAGACTGATGTATGGATAGATTGATAAATACATGGATAATGGACGGATGAATGCACATATAGATGGATTTACAGCTGGATGGATGAATGGATGGATAAAAAGATGGATGTAAGAATAGATAGCTAAATAGATAGATGATAGATGGATAAATTAATATACAGATGGACATATGGATGGACGGATGGATGGATTGATGGATGGATAGATAAACAGGTGGACGAAAGAGAGATGAATAAACATGTATATACAGATAGATGGATAGAAGGATAAACAGATGGATGATGGACGTTTGAATGAACATATAGATGTATATAAAGATGGACAGATGGGTAACTAAATGTATTTATGTGTGGATGGACGCGTGAATGGACAGACAGATGGAACGACAGACGAACAGATAAACTGAAGATTTATAATATTGAAATATTGGGATTTCTTTCTGTCTCTCTTTCTATCATGCTGGCGCACTCCGGAGCAGATGACACGTTCCTCAATGCCTCGGCGCGCTGCAGGACGTCGGCCTGTAACGAATCCCATCTGCGCATAATTAATTACACTGACATTTTACAGGCGAGCAGCGACGTCCTGCTCCTGAAGAGCGGAGAGGGAGCGCAGAAAGACTCCTCACTGAGAAGCCCTCCACACCCCCACACCAAAGCGCAGAGCTGAATGTGTGGAGGGTGAGCGAGGGAGAATGAAAGAGGCGATCGATATGGGCTAGACCAGGCAGGTGGGCAGCAGCTAGGTGAGTTTTGGCACTTCCTGCGTGGGCAGTCCAGGGTCAGATCGATCTCAGCACCCGAGAAGAGAAAGAACAGAGAACTTTTACGCCCCTGTGATTCACATGGGACCCCTGGAAGGAGACATGATGCAGTGGAAGATGGAGACACAGCAAGATGGACAGCGAGTGTATTTATGTTACATGCATTGTAATACTTGGCTATGCGTCAAGTTTCTTTAACCCCTTAAAATGCCAGTCTTATTACATACTAAGGCTTATTATTCAGTAACTAACTACAGGGACTCCAATACAAAGTATGTAAAAAAAACTGGGCCCATCGTGATGTAAGGGTTAATAACAGCAACATTGGTGTCAGAAAAGGATTGCACCAGTCTCTTCAGATAGTTCCTGTCCATTTTAGCCTACTCTTCCCCTAACTTTAGACTTCATGTTTGAGCACAGGACAACGTTAGCACTGCCACATTCCAGGATGACAACAGTAAGGTCTCTGGATCAGAGTTTACGCTAAAAAAGTCTGATTGGTAGCACTGCGTGATAAAGGGAGACTGTATGTAAGTCTACATGTTTGTAAGGCTTATCTACTTAAGCCTTTAATGACAACTTTTAGAAACCTACATAAACATTTATAAAGGCTTATAACACGCATCAGTTATAAAGGCTTATTACACGCATCAGTTATCAGTCATAACACTTTCTGCAGTGATACAACATCAGGATTAATAAAGGCAGCCTTTGTGACAACTGACGCTTGTGGTAATAAGCCTTTATACATGTTTACAGTCTCATTGCTGTTTACAGTCTTATGCTGCCCTTCAGTAAAGGCTTTAAAATCTGATTGGCTTAGCCACATGCAAAGCTGGTATACATCCGATGCTTGATCATATCAAAATATCTCTGTGCTAATAGACAAGAATTTTGCTTGTTATGTTGCGATTGTTCCAGCATTTCTTCTGAAATGAAGGGTATTACTAGTGAGTTTGTCCCTCTTTGCTGCAGTAACAGCTTCTACTCTCCTGGGAAGGCTTTACACTAGATGTTGGAACATTGTTGTGAGGATTTGATTGAGCATTAGTGAGGTCAGGTACTGGTGTTGGATGGTCAGTTCTGGATCACTCCAACTCATCCCAAAGGTATTACTCCAGAGAACACAGTTCCACTGCTCCACAGCCCAATGCTGGAGGGCTTTATACCCCTCTAGCCCACGTGTGGCATTGGGCATAGTGACCTTAGGCTCATGTGCAGCTGCTCCAGAGCATGTGTCAGCAATTTGTGGACCTTAAAGTAGCTGCATTCATTAATTAGAAGGGCTGTTTGGATATTTTTGGATATATTGTGTCTGTATTATGGGTGGTCAATATGGAAAAGTAGTGCATCCTGATATTTATCCATTGTCCATGAAGACATTTTGGCGTACCTAGTCTTGTTATATTTGTTACTTCTCCTCATAAAGAAATGTGCAATATCATGTTATTCTCATGCTAAAGGTTAGCTTTGTATACATTTTACATGTTTATTATACTAACCACAATTAAGTTTTTGTTCAGATTCATCACTTCAGCCAGGGGGTGCCTTATATTGGGCCCTCCAGCTGCTGCACTTTTACGGGACACTTCAAGTGATACTTTTTGCAATATTTTGACACACAGACAAAATGCACTAGTAGTATTACATCTTAAACTAAAATAAAAAAACCCTACTACTAGTTACTGATATTAATATTAATACTAACTGAACAGAGAACCAAGAGAACATATGTAGAATGTTCTATAAAAGTCTGACGGAAAGTGGCTGAATGCAAAGTCAATAAAGTAAACTGTTAATTAGAATTGCTAATGTGAATGGCACTCCAGTGAGGGCGCATTAGAAGTAGGGTCTTACTTTCATCTGGGTTTGGGGCGGCGAGGATGGCGCTGTGTTTCCTCTTTACCTCCTCTACCTTCTCAGCCAGTGAGTCGATAAAGCCACGGATCTCCTCCACCTTAGAGAGATAGCAATATTAGTATTAGTATTATTAACGTCTAGTTGAATATTTGCGTAGATTAGCATGTTCCAACGGGATGTCACCAATTTCTCCACCAATCATAACTCAACAGTTGAGACATGAACAGAGTCATTCAGAGTGGTTTGTTGTGAAATAGTTCATTGTGGAGAAATTTACCAACTCATAAACTTTAAAATAGTGGCAAATCTAAAAAATGTTTTCTTTGGGGCCTATTTCGCCTTACAACTCCCTGCCTGTACCCCTCCACCATGCACATATTTTTAAAAATACTAAAACCTTTTTTGTCTCAGGAGGAGGAAGAAACATCACACAGGCTGAGTGAGTGCTGCTGCAGGACAGACTTGTTACAGAATTGCATCACATTCATTCTTTTTATCCCTCAGATATCCCATCCAGTATTTTCTGCTGATGTCAGCCCAATACCGATACCTGGTATCAGAACGGTGCCACCTCCAATTAAAAGTACTCCCACGGCAAGAATGCAATGTCACTTTGAAACCATTACTCATTTTAACATTTCTGTTTATAATACCAGTTTGAAAGATTAAAAGTGGGGTCCCTGCCAATTAGAATCCAATAAAAGCTCATATAAAACTCATCCTAGCCCTGTAGTTGATTGATGTCATCCTTTTTTCTGTTTTAAACAGCCGCATGATCTCAATCTGCCTGCATCTGAAAGCATGCGCTTCACCTGGGGCTTTAAAGCAGGACAGATAAAACAGCTTCCATTCCGCACATATGAATTCACTTTGAAGCAAGAGCATTGACTGACTGTGTGTGTGTGTGTGTGTGTGTGTGTGTGTGTGTGAACACATGTGCATTTCAAAGTGGACAGTAATACTGATTATTAGATTGCAGCATTTCCTTCGAGAGGTAAAAAAGAAGAAAAGGAGTAGACATCTACAGAAGTACAAATGCTCCACTGAATCAATGCCATAGGAAAGAACATAGAATGATAATAATGAAGAAAACCTTATTGATGAAGGCTTATTAAAATAGATACTGTAGTACTGGGAACAGAGGTAAGCAGAATTCTCTGTAGTTTTGGTTTCTGTTAATTACCTCTTACATTTTGCTGGACCACCCAGTGGGCCAAACTATGAGAGCTGCTGTCTCTAACTGAGTCACTGACTTACTGATTGACTGACTGATACTTGTTAAAATATGCATACAAAGACTTTGCCCAAGACAAACAAAGCAGAAAACACATTAAACACTATTTATTTCCCTCTCTGCGCATAATGCAAAGGTTTTTTTTGCACTGTACACTTGCTTGACACAAACGTCATGCAGCTGCTGGCTGTCCAGCAAAACTAAGTGTGCCTAGTCTTGTTTTTTTGTTAGTTTCCCTCATAAATTATTTTTTGGTATATTATGTTATTCTCATGCTAAAGGTTAGCTTTGTATACATTTTACATGTTTGTTACACTAACCACGATGATGGTTTTGTTTAAATCCATCACTTCAGCCAGGGGGTGCCTCATATTGGGCCCTCCAGCTGCTCAGAATGGTACCTGCAAATTTTTGCAACGCCAATATCGGCTGATGTTACTGGTCAACTGATTAGTAGCCGCTAGCAGAAAGAATAGAAAGGAAGTCTAAGTTATCATTCCCCTAAACTTACACGACCTGACACTTTCAATAAAAGCATCTAACATTTTTAAAGAATAAAAGTCTCTTTTCAATAAATGAGCTTCACTGCAAATTCCCTGTAGCACTGTTTTTTTAAGCTAGACAATGAGAACACAATGCAGTGGTCTGCACACCAGGCGATGCTGGAACACCAGAGGTCAAGGGGCAAAAGTCTCTATTTGTTTCATTTTGAACAAAATCAAGCAAACAAACAAATACAGTTCTTGTAAGAGGAAAATTTGGAAATTAGATATTTTTGCTAGAAAACTGATCACCATCCACTCACTGTGCATTTACAGTGAAGTTTTGAACAGTAGTTTGTAGATGGGCACCTACAGGTTCTCGCAGTGTGCCATGGCCAGTGGCGCACTGGGCTGCTCATACTGATTTGTCCCAGTACGCCCAACCAAAGAACTGCTGAAACATCTGAACCACCAGTTGAAAAAAACAGTAAATTAAGCCAGTACTGTGAATACTACAAAGCTTAAGGCTTTTCATTAATCAGCAAAGCTATCCAATACTGGATGGAAGAGAAAAAACTACTGGCAACACTTCACAAAAAAAAGAGTTCCTTTCCTAAATGTTAATATTTTCTTCAATAGATTAAATTTGGATGCAGCACAGATGCAGTTTCAGCCACTGAATGGTCAGTGCACTGCGAACTGCTAAGGAGAAACGTACCATATATTAATATGCACAAACTGAGACTCTGTTCCTCAAAAATGAAGTAATTAAATGCCCCTAATAAGGGCTTGATTAATTTTTTACAGAGTATTATTAAGTTCATGTATTTCTAAATGCACCAAAGAACCATGAGTAAAAATCCAAGCGGGTTTATACACTGCAAGTGGGTGGTGAGTTCATAAATCCATAAATGAAAGTACATATATTTATATATATATATATATATATATATATATATATATATATATATATATATATGTGTGTATAAATATATATATATATATATATATCCAGTTTTAGACATAAAGTGAAAATGTCTACTATCCTTTATATTGTGTGTAAATTTCATGATTAATAGACCAAAAGAAACGGCGCAAAATGACTTGGTAAAAAATCTGGTTCCACTGACCTACATTAAAAGTCACGTAAGTTTTTTCCTTCTCCTGTAAAGTTATAATTTTGGAGATACAAGGTCTTCTTCCGACAACAGCAATATACTGTGTGGGTATATAAATATATATATATACACACACTTCACGTTAAGTACAAATGAATCTTAATAAGCTTGATGTGTTAATGTGCAAATTGTAAATGATGTAATCAATAACAAATGCTCCTTTAACTAAATATTTGCTCATGCAAGAAAGACTTAATTATTCAAATTTTAGTAATGCTTCTTTACATGCAACTTGCCGATTTAAATAATTTCAAATGCACAGAAACTATATTATCAAATTATTTATTCACATTGTTTGTGCAGAAAATGCATTTAGTTTTAGTATAAATAATTTCCGAATGCCTTGTCATGCATTTGTGCATTATTGCTATAATTTACCACGATTATAAACTATTACCTGTAATGCTCACCGTAACAATGCCTGTCTTGTGTACACATCTGGGAGAAAGTAAGATTCTCTCACAGGTTTCTCTGGCCACAGCAAAGAAGCCATTTATGACTATAAATTCCACCATCTGCTAGAAAAAAGAGGCATCATCTTTTTTTGCAGGATGCACAAAAGCTATTTACATACAGCAGAAATAACAATAGAAGCTAATGGTCCCGGTGTACAGTATGTCTATAGGATATAAAGACTATAGTTGAGCTGTATTGTCTTCTGGAGACTGAGTCACATGGAAACGTAGCGAAAGCCCTTCAGCTGTCCATGGGCCTCTGTGTCATGTTGCTTGGTCAGGAGTTTAGACAATGGGAGGCACATATTCTTTGATTCTGTTCAGGTATAAATGCAAGGGTTAAACCAGGCAGAGCGTCAGTTCACCAGCTGGAAACTGCTCCAACAAGCAAAACATCTGCTTTGACAAACAACAAACTCACCATGACTATGGGCAAGGTAAGCGCACCATACATCAAAGCTAACAATTTCAAATTGCCATTTGGAACCATTTCAACTGTACAAGCATTTGCTTGTTGTATCTCTAAGGATGAACTCTAAATGCATTTTCTTTACCCAAACAGATCATCTTCTACGAGGACAGGAACTTCATGGGTCGCTCCTATGAGTGCAGCAGCGACTGTTCCGACCTGTCCTCCTACATGAGCCGCTGCCACTCCTGCAGGGTGGAGAGCGGCTGCTGGATGGTCTACGACCGCCCCAACTACATGGGCAACCAGTACTTTATCAGGAGGGGCGAGTACAATGACTACATGCGCATGTGGGGCATGAGCGACTGGATCAGGTCCTGCCGCATGATCCCTATGGTATGGTTTTCAGCTTTGATTTAAGGGTAGAGATGTAAACCTTAGGCTTTGCCACAATATTCTGCAATTATATTTATCAAATGTTAGTACAATATGCAAGACAGTTCATCTCAGTAATATATAAATAATACTGTCAACGATATTCTCAAAACTTTAGGTTGATGATCATCTTTCAATGTTGATGAAATGAGAGCAGAAAACTGGAAGAGAAAGAAAACATAGGCGTAGATACGTGCTAATTCCTGTTAGCGTCTCTATGGGATTTTCATGGTAGCAAGCTAGTGGTGGTGTATATTTACTGTCTCCCTGCTTTAACTTGTTAGGTTGCTCAGTCTGAAAGAATCTAGGGAGAATCTAGGGGATTTGCAATGTTAGACTAACCCAACATAATACAACAGGAAAAGGCACTTTCTTAGCAAAGCACTGTCAAAACGAGAGCTTCACAGTATGCACTGAAATATGTTTTGAATCAAAAGAATCGCATTGGAGCCTCCAGAATCCATGCACTTGGTTCTTTTCCCAATACAGTACAGAGGACCCTACAGAATGAGGATCTACGAGAGGGAGAACTTCATGGGCCAGATGATGGACGTGACTGACGACTGCGATTCCATCATGGAACGCTACCACTGGTCCAGCGGCTGCCACTCCTGCCACGTGATGGACGGCCACTGGCTCATGTACGAGCAGCCCCACTACAGAGGCAGGATGTGGTACTTCAGGCCTGGAGAGTACAGGCACTTCAGGGAGATGATGGGCATGAGCGGCACCAGGTTCATGAGTATGAGGCGCATCCTGGATTCCTGGTACTGAGCAGTTTCTCTAATGTGAAAATCAGCAAACGTTAAATTAAATGTTCAAAAAGATCACTCAGTAACTCAGTAGTGTTTTTTTTCCTCACAAAACAGCAACTCATACAAACTTTAACACAAGCTAACATGGG